TATGTGCAAATATACGACTACACCTGCAAACAAACAGCATGCTGTGGTGACGCAATGTTAATTCACTGGCAATTCATTGTAACCAATTCACTTTTTATTGCCAACTTTGCATTGTTGTTGGGCTTGTTGCAAACCTTACTTTACTCCACTTCTAATGCTCCACCGGTGCATAGTCATATTATGTATGTATTTAGGTATGGTAGTATGTAAATTTAGCACTGAAGTCCATGTTGCCGCAACGTCCACTGCTTAGTCCTGTCGTTTAACCGGCTTTGGGTTAAGCACTTGCGGCATCTGTTGATTTAAAATGCAGTCACAGCAATTTCTGTTATTCCAGCAATTGTGTTGAGAATTTCTGCCACAACAACAACAAGAACAACAAAAACAACAAGAACAAGAAATGGAAAATAAGTGAACAATTGCTTCATTAGGGTCATTCATATGGAATTTGGATTATACATATATATATATATATATATGTTTCGCTGAACTATGTCGAAGGTCTTTTCCTAGATGGCGCCTGCGGGAAATATATATATAGGAAGAGACAGCGGCTACGCTGGCTAAATCATGTGGCTTGGTTGGATAAGACTACTCCATATTTAAAAGTTTTCAATGCAGTGCCCGCCGTATGAAGCAGAGTCCCCGAGTCCGTTGGAAATACCAGGCGAAGAACAACCTGGCGCTACTCGGTATTTCAAGCGAAAATAAGAAGAAAAAATAGTATTTTTTGTATATTAACCATATTTGAGGCATAAGCAACGACGGGACATATAGAAAGTGCAGCGAAGTAGGCATGAGTGACATTTAAGAGCTCCTCCTCTGCTGTTGACCCGACTCCAGCAACTACTCATCTTTAAAATTTAGGAGTCCCGCAGCTCAAAGGAATAGCTGAAGTAATAAAATTTGATATTAAAATACTCTTGAACTATACAAAAATGGTTTAGATCCTAAATGACAACTACTTCAGCTCGAACTAAGCTTCACCTACATCTGACCTTACAAAGCACTAGCAAGTTTAAGTTTGACGTGTCAGACAGTCATCATAACCTAACCTCTGCAAACCGTTTGTGGTAAAAGCTCCACTATTCCATTTCATAACCAACCAGCCTAATAATTACATTGCTTCACACACAACCCGAATGACGATGCCCCAGAAAGAAACGCTCTCGTTCGATGCTTTGTCGCATGGAGATTGGATTAATGCCTGCTATATATATATGTGAAGTTGGTACGAATAGTAACATTGAGTTAACTGAAAAATTGTGGTCATTTGTTGTGGTGCCTCTAAGAGGGGACTAACAAACGTTCGTTAGTTGGTGACTTTCATTTATTTTTGTTAAATTTAAAAATACTTCATTATATTAGTTATCCTTTCAAACGCTTGAACGATCGGCTTAAATAGAGATTAGAAAACGCAAGTTAGCTGAGGATAGGTCAGACGAAACTCCACCCCCAACTCAAACAAAAATTCGCCATGCGAGTCTCTTCGGATTTCGGCGTAATTTACAGCCAATAACAATATTCAGTGAATGCCGAAGTGTATAAGGAACGATTGCACCGTCTTTAAAGACTATTTCTAAGTGGTTCCGTAGATTCAGGTGAGGGCGAGCCACGAGAAGATCGACCAAAATCATCCACTGACGATGTCATTGTAGCTCTGTTGAAGTTTAAAACTGACTAAGACCCACGATTGACACAAAAAACGATTGTCAATGAATTGAGCTTGAATGCCATGGATGTATCGCGAACCTTAAGTAATCATCTAAGATTCAGGAAGAAACTGCTCGATGGGTATCACGAATTTTAAGTGAGGCCCAAAAAGAGGCTCGAGTGAATTCTGCTCAATTTTCCCTGAACAATTTCGAAAACGGCCAGTCTAGCAATTTAAGTAAAATCGTTTCTGGTTAAGAATTTTAGTTCTATAAGTACGATCCAGAAACCAAACAGCAGTCCATGATATAAGTAATGATGTCAGTTTACTGCACTCGATCTCAGATCATAGCTGATGTTCCACTGGAAAAGGGTCAGATGGTAACTGCAAAATGGTACAACGAAGAGTGCTTACCAAAAGTTTTCAGAAATTTGTTGGAAAAAAAGAAAGGTTTTTAATGACAACGAAGAGATAATTAATGCGGTAAATGCTGAACTTGATAAGCTGAGGAGGTAAGATTTTGAACACTATTTTCAAAAGTGGATCTATAGGCTTAAGGATACCTTAAAATCTACGGCGATTAAGTAGAGAAAATAAAAGAGGACAAAAATTACGGTTAAGTACAAAAATTTTTTTTTTTTTTGGTAAACTTAACGAACTTTCGTCAAGCCCATCGCACATATATGTAAGCTTGTAATCGTCAGCATACAAATCCAACTTCTATGGAGATAAGAAAGATATGTTGTCAAAACTAGAAGTAATATACTTATTGTAGAATGAAGTCTTAAAAATAAAAATAAAAATTCAATTTCATATAAATAATTAATTAGCCGAATGGTTAGCAGATTCCGAGCAACCGACCAAAAATCAATATTATAGAAAATTAATTTGATAGTAAACTAAAGCTGTCCCTCGGCAGAAAATGTCAGCCCATCCGAGTGTTCTTCTGATATTGAAAAAAACGCTCAGCCAGAAAGTGGATCTGCCGTTCGGATTGTCATGTCAACCAATTTGTTGGAAAAACATCAAAGATACACACAACAAATTATCCTCGAAGCTCTGCTGGACATCGCTACAGCTGTTGAAATCGTCATTTTAAACATTGATTGGATATTTTTGAAATTTTGTTTAACGCTTTTCATGTATCAGCTTTATACCAGTAAAATACTAGTTTATTCATACATGTTTACGAAAATTGGCATATAAATAGACCGTGCTATGTTTGGAAGCTAGGAACCTGTTTCTTTTCAGATTGAGCCTTGTAAAGCCTGAAGCATGAGGCAAACAACACATCAGTAGTGTGGTGTTACCAGCAAAAAGTAAACTGGTATAAAGCCATCTTTTAAAAACTAGTAACAAACTAGAGTTTGATTACCTTGGATTCGTTCAATATAGCAGGTATTGCTTGATTTAATGGTATATAAAAAATTCTGGAAATAATTTGTGTGTACATTAAGGTGGGACGGTTTGAAAAAATAAGTAATTTTCATTCAAATATTTTTTTCATTCGAATTAATTTGATTTTTGTTTGCCAAAAAGCTTTTTGAAAGACTTATAAATAAATCACGGCCGCTCTCTTATGAGCTGGATGGTTTGTTTCATCATTTCGCAAATGATATGTGCTGCTGGAATTGGCTAACGCACAGTGAGGTGAGCTATGGACATAATAGAGCAAGGATAAGACTGAATAGAGATTTCAAATGCGCTTTATTTTGTAAATTTAAAACTTCCATATTCAGTGAGAGGTTTGATAGATATGTGGGAGGAGAGACTTATGATGTGGGAGCATCAATAAACTTCGACCGGAAAAGGCACGATGTGAAACCAAGATTTTATTCCATTAATAAGCTTACTGGGTGTTCGTGCAGTGGACTGCGATTATTCGAATAAAATTTTCTTCAGCAACGAAGCACATTTCTTACTCGGCAGCTACCCAAATGAGCGACTTGTGGTATTTGGCGCTACGAGAAAGCTCAAATAATTGAAGAGAGGCCGTTACACGCAATAGAATCCTACTGTCCCGTGCGCTCTTTGGTTCGGAGGTGTGTTTGGGCCTCACTTTTTTTTTTGGCTACTTGAAAGACCTTGTATATGTGAATAATAATTAACTCTCGATCACTTCAGAACTAGAATTTGTCAAGTTATGACTGAGAAACCGTCCAATACAAGGGAAAAAGTGATCGTAGTTTGTCATTTGGATATTGTAATGTATTCCAAGCATCAAATTTAATAATAAAATAAAATGAAAAAAAATTAATTACATTTTATTAACATTTATTTTTGGAACCTCAAAATGGATAACCTTATAAATCTTGAATAAGGCTACTTTCGACACTCCATTAAGTTAGGAAACTCCCAAAGTAGTTGACTAAAGAAACAGAGATCATTTCTCACTAAACTCCATTCTGTGACCTCTACAACTTCTCCTGAAAAGAACTTCAGCCAGTGAGTATGTTGTTCTCTCAGATAGTGACCTGACAAATCGCCTAATGGCTGAATGGCTATCTTGCAGTGGTAAGTTAGTAAACCGTTAGAACGACAATCCTTCTTTCATTTTAAAAGCAACTCAGCTAATCATTCAGAAAAAACTTGATATTTTCTCTTCTCTCTTTCTGAGAGTGTATTTTTTTTTACTTCTCAATACTCGGTGAACATTGATTTTTCGCCAAGCGATTTTCTTTAAGATCTCTAATATTTTGTAATTCTGAAAAGAAGTTTCGTACTAATGTTAAAAAAATGATTAACGCAGATGTCTGTTCGTATTACCAACCACACACACACACGAGCACATATTAAATTCTATATTCAAAAGTCGTGTGAGTTCATTCATTTCATTAATTTCCATTTATCTACAATAATACACGAAAGCGCATTAAATGCTCATAAACACCGTTATACCAATTGGGATTAGCGTTGTACGTTGACATGAACATTAATTAACCAACCTAACTGTATGGCGAAAGCAAATTTGAGGCAATTTTTTTTTTCTAAACGGAAAACTGAAAGTGAAAGCAGTACTTGGCGCGGAAAAGAAGAATTCCTGTCCAAATGATATATTCCACTGCATTTATATCATTTTTAGCTTAGAGTAAATTCTCATTTGGGAGTTTTGGCAATGCATAGCCGTAACCATTCGACGGCGGTGAATCCCAAAACTAATTTACATCCTTCCACCTGCTCAGGTTGAAAATGCATTCCCCATTGCATACTTTCGGGCACCAGAGCAGGTGGGTGAACACACCTTAAATATTGCTACGTCTTCACTTCTCCAACGGTATAAAAGTCGATGTAATAACTGTGCATTGTAGTTAGTTGGTTAACGGTACGCGGTCGCTGTGAACGGTTATTGACGACAAAACGCGCTAAACGTAAAGTGATATGGAGCCAGAGGAGAAGAAGGATATGCAAAAGGAAGCCTCTCTTAGTAGCATTCCACCGGCAATACAGTGGTAAATGTGCTTTCTTGGGAAGAAAGAGAAAAAGAAAGAAAAAAGAAGAAGAAAAATTGTTGTAAAAAATATGAGAAAACCAATTAGTTTTTGAAAAAGTCTACAAAATGGAATTATGAAAAATTTTATCTTATTAAAAGTGACAAAAAAGTGAAAATAAAAAATTAAAAATTAAAAAAAAAATTAATAAAAACAACCAACACCTACAAAGCTACTGAAAAGAATTAACAAAAAAATTATAAAAAAAATGATCAGAAGATGTTTGAAAATTTTTACAAAATATATACATAAGTCTCTTAAAAAGTAATCCCCCATTTTTGCATTAAATTCAAACCTTTATTTAGCAAATTTAGAATAGTCTGATTTTTGTCAAATATGCACTATTTGACACCCCAGCTTTTTGCTATTTTGAAGTTCACATGATTATGCCACTCTCATAGAAGCCCTTCTCCCTATTGGGCTATTGATTCCCAATGTTGTCAAACGGAAAGAGTAGGTAATAACTTGCTGCCAGGTGGAGGCTATAAGTTGAGTAGCTAAGAACCACTCAATCAGGCTCTTGTAGCTTCTGTCGAGTCACTATCGCTGTGTGTGGTCCGGCATTGTCCTGATGAAATACAATAGCCCTCCTCTTGGCCAAAGCTGGGTGCTTCTGGGTGAGCTCTTCCGTCAGACGGCCCAATTGCTGGCAGTACAGGTTCGAATAAAATGTTTGACTGTAAGATAGCAACTCATAGTGGAGGATTCTTCGGCAATCCTACCAAAGACACAAAGAAAAACCTGCCTGTGCATTAGTGCTGGCTTGAAGACCATTTTTGCCGACTCACTGTACTTCGACCTCGACCGTTTTTATTTGACGTAGCTGTAAGTGAACCGTTTTTTTTTTATCACCAGTCATTTAACAGTGATTCGTAGATGGAAATATGGTTTTTTGAGTTGAATTTTTTTCTCATTAACTCTTGTACCACTCATACATCGAAATTCCTTGTATATCCAGCCCTTTTAGATCAGTTTCAAACTGTATTTTGTGCATATTTAGTTCCTGTGTTATCGAAACAGCGCTCGCAAGACGTTCAGACTCGACGATTTCCACTGTTTAATCGAACTTTACGACAATTGACCTTCGTGGAGCAAACCGTAGAGCATCTTTTACATCAGAACTACTGTAACGAAATCAAGGAAACCAAAACTGTGCATGATTGTCTGTTACAGCGTCAGGATTATAAACACTGTTCTCATTTTTAGCTGCCTGACTTGCGTTTTCGCCTTTATTGAAGAGAGAGAAGAGCGTATTTTCTCTTTGCTGGTGCCCATCGTGGGCTGACATGCGGTCGAGCACTACTGAGTTCGGTGACCAACACTTTTGTTATTATCTTTTTTAGTACAAATTATCATCTTTATAACGGCATCTACCGTAATCCATTAGCACTTACAGAACGCGGGTTACAAATCAGTTAAATCATCTATAGCAAAAATGATGGATTACTTTTTACTAGCATACTATTTTCTAAAAATTTATAAAATATTTAAAAACAAATTACATGAATTAAATCTCCAAACATTGTTTATTTTCCCCACACCAAATTATTTTGTGCGCTCTGCAGGAAACGTGCTGCTCTCTTAGCCAAATCGGCCGCTGCTTCAAAGGAAAATATCGATAATGACAGTGATGGCGAGGATGTGGATACGAAGCAGGCAATTAAATATGGCAATAAGTGCCAAGCAACATGTGGAATTTTGAAAGAATACTGTGATTATAGTACAATTCATGGCTTTCGTTATTTGGGCGAAACAAAGCGTCCACGTTGGGAAAGGTGAAGTAAAAGAATTTTTTTTTTTTTTTCAATAATTATTTGAGAAAATTATATTTGTCACGAGTGCGAGTCTTGAACCGACCAATATCTAAGGTTATAGAAAATTAATTTAAATCAAAAAATAACTAATTTTTCATGCTTTTCATGTACATGAAATGGTATGTTTCTGACTTTGGTGCGACGTAGGTAAGCACCTGAATGAGAAGGGATAAACTCATCGAAATTTATACCGATCGGGTCAGAATGACGAGTTAAGTTGATTCGGTATACCCATGACCGTTGTACAAAAAAGCCCAGCATTTTTGAGCTGCTTTAACCAAACTTGCCATATAGATGAATTTTTAAATTTAGATTTTTTAGATTTCACATATCAAGTCGAAACTCCGTCAAAAATGCATCTGAGAGCGTGAAATTTGGTACATACATAAGCAGAAATAAGAACACTGAAAATCATCGAATTTGGAAAGCTTTATCCTATGGCCCACTCCAATGAACCTTTCAGATATGAAAATTTATGTTTAATCGAAAAATGAAATATCATAAACTTCCCTTCACATTTTTTTCTGGAGGTGAAGCCAACTTTCAAGGATGAATTTAAATTTACTCCCAGAGTGCTACGAAAATCCATAATATTACAAAGAAATGGGCATTTGCTAGTTATGCTCGGCCGCGGTAGCCGGTGGTTAGCAACGCGTACTGACGTTCGGCGCGCTCGAGTTCAATTCCCGGTGCAACCAACATCCAAAAGTTATGGAAAATTAATTTAATTAAAAATTAAGTTAAATTATCTAATTGAGGTCACAATTCTGCAGAGAATGTCCACCCCCTGAATGTATTTCGGACATAAAAATAAAGGCTCCTCGTAAAAAACCCATCAGCCGTTCGGAGGCGGCTTAATAGAAACAGCAGGTCCCTCCATTTGTTTGAAAAACATCAAGTCACAAAACCACAAATTGGAGGAGGAACTGGACCGACAAATCACTTCAGCGGTGATTCCCTCAGCATGACTGCGGAGTCTGCATTGTTCTAAGGACTCTATTAGCATATATACAAGCCGCTCTTTGCATGTTTCCATACGCTTTACCCCGTATCGACTTGCCATTATTGACTACCAAAAAAAAATGTAAATCATGAGGCCATAGTCTGGCTAATATGTTGCAACCCATCTAGACTCCATTCTCTAAAATGGATGTATAAAGTGCAAGTGCAGCCTTCCACCTTTTAAATTAGGCTTCCATGCAAGCTTCCGGCTCAGCATGAATCGCAGTTAGTCCACTTTATTTTACGGAAGTGCGATTTAAAAAATAATTAAAAATAAATAAAAAAGAATCGTTAAATAATTGAGCTAGCAAATCGAAATCCTTTTTAAAACCCCTTTAATAAGCAGATAACAAAGGCAGTTCAACTGAAACTGGTGCGGTCGCCACCATTTACTGCCTCAGACCACTCAGCAGTGAACCAATTTCCAATGCCGGGCGTATCACCAAACTCCTGTGGGGCAGTGTGGGTTGCAAATAGATCAAATTGGTGCTAGAACTAACCAAAAGTGTACTTCGAGCCCACATACAAAGATACAAACAAAAGGATAAGCATACGAATAAAACTGGATTTGGGTGCGGCCAGCTCAAAGCTTCACTTATATATTTATAACTGACACATTGTACACAATGCTAACCCCTCGTCTATCGCGGCCCATCCGCTTGACTTACGAAGCGAAAATAAAAAATAAAAAAATATTTCAGAAATTTCGAATGCCTCTTGAAGAAAGAGCGTAAAAATAGTTGCTTACTTTATATCACAGAAATACGCTCTCATCCCATGTTAGGCGAAATTAGTTGTCTTTTCTATCAACTAGAATTTATATTGGGAGGCCTATCCGCCCTTGTAAAACTAAGTCATGGAAATAAGCATTGCACTAGGCCCTTAATAATGGCACGTTATTCCCAACTGAGTATAAATCAAGTAACAGCAGTCGAAAAGACCAACTCGGAACAAAGCATTGTCTTGATGAAAATCACATGCCTAAAAAAACACCCTTTATTATACAATAACCTTGCATTGAGATTTTTGTTGATTTATTTACATTGAGACAATTTCAGACTCTTCTGGGTACTCGTACTGATATTCTCCATATACACTTGTGCCACACTCATCATGAATATCTGGGATAAGTGGAATAATAATCCCGTAATTGTATCCTTTGCTGAGAAGTCCACGCCCGTTTGGCAGATTCCATTCCCAACCGTAACGGTTTGTACCGAGACCAAGGGCAGGCAAACAGCATTTAACTTCACCGAAATGTATTGGAAGATCTCCGATAGATTTAATAATGTCACAGACATCGATCTGACGGATGAGGAGTAAGCGCACCACACAAAGAATAAATGAATGAAGAATGAAATTTTCTAAAATTCGTTATAATTTTTTTTAGAGTTATACGTATGGAGGCTTTAGCTCAGGTGTGCGATGCTCATTTACTGACTGATTTTAAATTTGGCCACAAAACCGCATCGGACTCGGAGATTGTTAGCGCTTTGGGCGCTGTCACGCCACTCTTCAATGAGACCTATTTGAATTGTAAATGGCGGAATTTTCCAGAGAATTGTGTACATATTTTTAAGAAATTCATTACGGAAGAGGGTGTATGCTATAGCTTCAATTCACTCAGTCCAGCGGAGATCTATAGGCCAGAGGGGTGAGTATGAAATGAGAAAAATATTTATTGCTATATGATATATATTATACATATAGATACAATCCGAAATAAATTTAATGTTGTATTTAAAATTATTTATTTTACAAAATTTTTTATTTTGTTTACTAAAACCATTCTGAACTTGTTTAATAAATTTATTCTTAAAATAATGTAAAAAAATATTAATTTTTAATTTTTAATTTTTAATTTTTTTTAATTCAAAATTATTTTTTTAAAAAATTTAAAGTATGAAAAAAGTCAGAGTGAAAACTTTTCTTGATTAACCCAATTTAACTAAGAAAATCCCAAAACTCATCTTTGTGCAGCATAATTAAGGAAATGCTCTTCCAAACGGACAATCGCACGGCCACTGACTGGAATGTGGAAGATGGTTACAGCGCCAGCGCAGATCCGGAAACCTATCCAGAGCGTGTATTGGGTCCAGGTGCACGCGCCGGTCTCTATATGGTTTTGAATGGTTTCGAACAAGATTTTGATAACTTATGTCGTGGCCCAGTGCAGGGCTTCAAAGTAAGTCATCAAATATTTTCAAGAAACTGCACTTGGGTAGTAGAGTTCCAGCACACAGGACACTTAGACACTTTTTGATAGGCTTTTGAGTTGAAAGGCTTAACATAGCCGTTGCTTAGCGTGAAAGTTATGACTCCGATATTGAACTTTTAATCCTGATAAAGATAACTGAAAGGGTTTCCAATGCGAGGTGTTATTTTGAATAGCCTGCTAGAGTTAGTAGTAGTTAGTGATAGAAGAAAAAAACGCACATGTCGCACAAGAACAAGAGAGAGTACTGCTGTCGCAGCTCTAAGTGTTGAGGGAAATGCAGCTTTATCCATTCCTCGTCGTTAATTGGAATTGGGCATTCCATAGACGTCATTACAACGCCTTAAGGCTTAAAAGTTCCATTTCCATCTCGTCTGCTCGGTGTGGTCCACGGCCCAGCGCGGCCTCCAAAATGAGGCTGGAGCAACAGTTACGATGAATGGATTTGGGCTGTCGAGAGGTGACTAATGTTTATTTAAGGTCGGAATAAGATGGTATTGATCTGGACAACGTTTACTTTCAACAAGACGGTACTACGTGTCACACATGCAACGAAACCATCGATCTTTTATGGGAAAAAGTTCTGTTCGGTTCGGTCCAGTCCATTTCTCGAAGAGGTGATCGCAATTGTTCACCGAGATGTTGTGATTTAAAACCTTGCGACTTCTTCTTTTGGTACCCCGTGAAAGATAAGGTCTACGCCAAGAGACCAACAATGATTAAGATCATACCGCAGCCACTTTGCGATTTGGTGATGGAAAATTTTTTAAAACTGATACCGTCCAGTAAGCATAGCCGTGGCGGCCGTCTGTCTGATATTGTTTTCCATTGTTAATACCATATCTTTCTATTTAAATGGAAACAAACATTCGAACGCTTATCTAAAAACTTGAATATTAAAATAATACCCTGTACTTCTCTCTCTTAATTGGTGTAGGCATCATAACCGCAATTAAAGTCGAGGAAACAATTACAAGCACGTCCATTTCAGAGTTCGAGTAAAGTCTGCGTGAAGTGCTTTCATCCGATCTTATCAACGGAATGGAGGCCTTATTAACGGGCATTATTAACGGCTTATAAAGTTTGTTTTGTCTACGTCGAGAGAGAGATTGGTGCTGATGGCGTTTTCTAGATAGACGAAATAGTCTACAACTTCAGGGTCATGACTGTAAATAGTGACGTAGGAAACCAGGAGATGACCGGAGATATTTTGTCTTGTTCGTCGTTATCATCTCTCCTACTGTCGCGGGAACTATAGGAGCTTAAGTTGCCTCTTTGGACAGACTTGCCTCATCGCGGATCTCGTGATGCTCTAGATCGGAGAAATCGCCTTCTTTGAAATATATAGAGCTGCTCGGAGAGAATCCTTCCGGTTATGATGGAGTCTTTGTCAAAATCATAACTAGACCCAACAATAGTAAATATTAGAATCTATAGAAATTTAGCTGATAGGATAATTTAGAACCTGCTATTTTTCTACTTAGATTTCTCTCATATCTCTCATCAATTTTCTCATCAATACTTTTTTTAAGATTATTTTACATACACCCGGCGAGGTGGCTCAAATATCGAAACAATACTTCCGCATACCTTTTGATCAGGAGGTTTTGATTTCAATAAAACCAAAAATTATAACAACATCAGAGGGCTTGCGTCACTATGAGCCACACAGGTGGGTAGACTTAAGAAATAACTTTTTTTTTGAATGTTGAAATGGCTTACCTCTATTTTACGACCACCAGACGCCAGTGCTACTTCCAAGAGGAGCGTTATCTGCGCTACTTCCAAATCTATACGCAGAGTAACTGTGAGCTCGAGTGTTTGTCGAATTTCACGCTCACTCAGTGCGGTTGCGTTAAGTTCTCCATGCCACGTAGGTTTTATTGAAAATTTCGGTTGTTTCGAGTTCTTAAATAATTTTCTGCCCTGCATTAGATACGCCGGATACGCCAGTTTGTGGTGCGCATAGCGTGAAATGTATCAACGAAGCTGAAGACCAACTGCTGCTCAAGGAATTCAATCAGGGCGCTGAAACGGCTGAGGAAAATGTGCGCGGTCGCACCGAATGTGACTGCCTGCCCTCGTGTACGTCCATCGCTTATGAGGCGGAGATCTCGCAATCAGATTTCGACTATAAATTAGTGGCCAACACATTTAAGTTGGAGGAGAGTAATAATTTTATGGCCAGGTAAGCAACTTGAAGGGAATATAATTTCAGTCCAAATGTTTACTTTTGATAGCTAACTCAATAAACGTAAATTTTTTTCTGTGTATTTTTCTGTTTTACTTTAACCACTTTCAGCAACAAAATGTCGCGCGTTTCCATATTCTTTAAGGAAGCTCAGTTTCTTACTTCCCGCCGCTCGGAGCTTTATGGTACCACCGACTTCCTTGCCAACTGTGGCGGTCTTTTAGGTCTCTTCATGGGCGTATCCATATTGAGTATTGTGGAAATCGCTTACTTCTGCTCGGTGCGCCTCTGCACGAATTTGCGCATGCGTCATGCGCGTCGCAAGGAGTTGGAACGTGAACAGGACACGGTGAAGGATGCATAGTTCGTTTGGGGAAATAATTAGTAAAATACATACGTATTTGTTTGGCGAGTTGTCTAAATTGGTAAATTTTAAAAAGATAAAAATATTCGTTTTTATAATTTTTTTTCTTCGAAGATGTTGTTTGATGTTATATGTATGTATGTCATGTGAAATTGTTGGCAAATAAAAAATATTTAAAGATGTTTTCAATCAAATTTGTTTAAAGTAATACTGTTGAGATGAGTGGACCTTATAGAAGAATTATTCCCGTTTTGGTTGAAGAATGACCCGCCGTGCTGAGGAGTACTGTATTGTGGTGCGTGAAAAAGCTATCGTTGCCCTTATATGTTTGAGTACAAAGAACTCGAGACGCGGACGACTATTGGAATTCTCAATAATTCTACAAGGAAACAAAGCGATCTGCAAATCCGAAAAACCATACGCTGACTCTCTTTCTGCGCATTTTATAAAGACAACATTTACTAATTGCAGGTAAAACACCGAAAAGGTAAACCCGAATATCCAATCGTTGACGACGAAAAACGAGTATTTGTTTCATCTCTTGACTTTGATGATTCTCGAATAGCACTTTAACTCTGTAAGAACAAAAAAGCCAAGTTATCGTCTGAGCTATTCTGGTAAAATAACTGAGTTCATCTGGCGGGGAACAGAGTTTGTTTAGAGGCCAAATGGCGAACCACATTAAGGCCAGAAAGTTTCCGGAAATTGTCATTTATTGAACGAATCTAATCAGACCCTTAACCTATGTATCAAGTAAAAATCCTTATTTCTGAAAAGTTTAATTGAAGACTCTAAGGAAATTAGACTATTCGATATAGGTGAAATGTGCTTCTTGCTGCTCTATAACCTTCGATAACCTTTTGTCATTTTAGAGATAATGTCATAAACCTCTCTCAAAAAAACCGCTCCCATTGGCAAAACCATTTGACAATCACTTTTCACAGGCTTCTTTTAAGGCTGATTCTTCACTAGGTAAATCATTCGCCTTTTACAAAAATGCATAATAGTCACTTGCTGAAAGACGGCCTATAAGATGGATGCTAAAGAACCTCCCAACCTCTTCTCTTCTCTTATTCAATCTCTCGGAGCTTGGAGTAAGTCTTTATCAATGGTGTTTGGTCAGGCGTTGTCCTGATAAAGCACAATTCCCCACCTGTCGGCCAAAGCTTATCGCTTCCGGGAAACTGCTTCCTTCAGACAGACGAGTGTGACTGTAGATGAAGCAGTTTATAGTAGAGGAGTCCTTGCCATTCCCACTAAACTCATAAAAAACCTACCTGACCGTCAATCCCGGCTTGGAAACTATTTTCTACAGCCTAATGCTCCTCCACCACGACAATTTCCGTTTCAAGTTGACGTACGTAATCCACTTGTCATCACTAACTGCTACAGATGTGGTTCGCTTTGCCTGCGATTCATCAGCGATCCGTAGATGGAATTTGGTCTATAACGAGCTAAGCTTCTTTGTGCATCCAACCGTTTTCATGTGGCTCCAAACTGGTGTTTGCTCAACGGTTTCCATGATTTTTGCACTATTTTCGAATGCCACTGAAAGCCTAGCCGAGTTGATGAATACGAGAAACTCTCTTTGTAACTGTTGGCATAGAAATCAATACTAACACGCCTTGATATAACAGAGTGAGAGCGGAGCGGAGTCGGTAGTAGAACTGACCGACGCTAAAAAAACTTATAAAATTCAATACTTATTCTCGTATCCACTCTGCTATAATGAATTTTGATCAACGCCTATCGAAACCAGCTTTGCGCCTTTCAGTGTGCACTCTGCCAGAAGCTTTACCAATAGCTGTTACCTTATAGCGTGCAGAGAGTTGAAAACTAAAGTCCAAACTCTACTAGTCAATCTCGTAGTCTCGTCTTGCTGTTTGGCGCAGAATTGAAGGCGGTTTTGACATCCGATGAGTTGGGGTGATAATAGTTCCGCGACATTGACATATTTCCAAATTTCGAAAGATTTCAATATTATGTCCTTTGGTGAAACTAAAAGATAGGGAAGCTCTCCATGCCGTCGAAGAAACCACGCTATAATCGTATAGCAAGTGCTGACGTATGTAAAGAAGAAAATTGCTGCGATGTTTTTCAGAGATGGACTTACGACACTATGATTTGAAGTAGATAAATTATTGCTTAATAGAGTTGGAAGGGTGGGGATCAATATATAAAATGAATTATTTTTGACAGAAATCTCTGCACACATTCTACGCTAATGTAAACAAATCGATTCCAATGTATATTACCAAAAGTCTCTATCCTTATATATACGTTCATCCTTACCGTCTCATCAGTTTGTAGGGCAGGAGTTAAATTAAACAGCTTGGAATAACTACTTTTGCTACTTTGTCTATTCAATTTGCTCTCGTATGTTATGCATCACTTTCATTTGCAATCAAAATCACTTCATTACAATTTGCCCAAGTGTTGGTCAGGTATTTCATTTGATTACTACTTGCCACACCCACTCCAGCACTGATTCGCCTAAGACCCATTTCGAGTAATATTTGCAACATATATACATATGTATTGTATGTATGTATGAACGTACGCTCACATCATGTGTCAGCGAGCACGTATGTAGTATTCAATAATATCATTATTAGTACTGTTATCTTCATCTCACTTAAGAGCATGGCTCGGTATGTCTAAATGCGCTCATATGTCGGTATTGTAAGCCATTAGACGTCTGTGAAATGTTTGTTTTACTTGTGTAAACAATTAGTTTAGCATTTCCGGTTTTGTTGTATTTAACATTTTCATTGAAATCCTCTCATTGATCTATTACCCCACACTCAGTCATTTTAGTTATTATTGGCTTTCTTATTGGCTTTCTCTCACCAGAGCTACGCATTGCATGAAAATCAAAATGAATTAAGTTAATTATGTAAGCAAATATTTAAACAATGGTAACTTAGGCAAGCAAACATCAGCATACATCGGGTTGTTGCATTGATTTTTAGAAAGGCGCTGGAATGATTGGAAGGATTTGTGGGCAATTGCTTTAAGTGCAGAAGTCGCTCTAAATGTATGTGTATACGAATGTTTAAACAGTAATGAAATTGTAATTGCTTAATATAATAAAATTTATGACTATTTTCTAAGATTTATTAGGCTCACTTTTAGCTAAAAAGATAAATATGAAGTACAACTGACGTAGGCGAGACAGAAAAAGATTTAAACAAACCACAAGGAGCTGCAGAATAGGGTAATAAATTTTACAACCACAAAATAAAATATTAATAATGAAATCTTAACCAGTTCCTTTCAATAACTACTACACTATAACTAAGCCTTTATTAAGAAATTCAGAGGAAGCATGAAGAAGATTAGGTGAAAAATATAGGATGCTTTCCATAATGTAAGTGAGGAGTGTAATGTTTCTAGTTTTAGCTTGAGAGCCCCTTCAATTTTCCACTACCAATTTTCTCTTCTTTCTTTTTCTTTAATTTTACATTTTTCTTTGCAATTATTAAGGGTTTTGTAGCCCTTTCAGCTTCTATATATTCCTTTAACCTGTTGTTTCCTGCTGTTTCTCATAACCTCTCTGTCTCTTCATTGTTGTGTTCTCTCTACTATATTCGGAGTGAGCGCCGGAGTCTATTGCGTTAAGCTAGATCTCAGCCAAAGCTTCAAGTTTCCGAAGTAGTGCAGTATTTTGCAGACAGAAGTCTTCGTGGCTAGAAAAGAAACTGAGATAGCTAACAATGCGGGAAACCTCGTAGAGACATCAGCGTGTACTAGAGCTCTATTATATATGTACTTACATCGATAGCCATGCGTATTACGTCAGAAAATGTACTTAGAGATGTGGTGGCTACAGAAAAGCCAGATTACAAGAGCATTGTGGGAAAGAAGTAGTTGAAAAGATTAACAAAATTTCTATCCATCAAGCTACAGAACCAGGCCAGATAATACGTGAGAAAGTCAAAAAAATTCAACAGAATTAATTTTCAAAACGGATGTAGGACAACCAAGATCATGTGAAATTGCAGCGGAGGAAAATGCTCCTACCTTTTACTCACTCGGTCTCGATAGAACTATACTACAATTGCTTGTACATGACGCATCTTACTAAGTCGCATCACATGCGAACCGAAGGGACGTTAATAACAGTAGAAAATGTAGGAAGCGAATGGGAGAAGGCAAGAAGATATGGCTGGGGCACTGGAACCCATCCTCTGCTTCTGTCCGACCTTACCTTGTACTCCCCTTAGGTATGTAGTTGGAAAGTCTATATGAAATACCAGAATAAGATCTCAAGGATCTCTTAAGATTTGAAAAAAAAAAAATGCTGACATCTTCCATGAGCTCAAATTGAACTTAATCTCAATTGTGCATTACAGACCCTTTGTATGTCTATGAAATGTCCATATAAGGGGTGGTAGTCAGCCAGTGCAAACTAAGCTATTAATATATATGAAAACATACTCTTTTTTTTAATCATTTTCTCGTCGCCCTTTTTGAGCGGTTCTCATCTGATTTGATCCTTACACATTTGCACTCACCCCATCTAAATCCATCTCATCTGATTTGATATGATCTCATCCCATCTCGTTTGATCATTCCCTTTCACCTGATTTGATTTGATCTGATTTGTTCACCTCTCTTCATTTCATCTCATCTCAATCGATCTGATGTAATCTGATCTAATATAGTCTAAACTGATCTGGTCTGATCTGATTTGATCTGATCTGGTCTGATTTGATCTGGTCTGAATTGATCTTATCTTACCTGATCTGGTTTGATCTGGTCTGAACTGGTCTGACTTGATCTGATCTGGTCTGATCTGATCTGATCTGATCTGATCTGGTCTCATCTGATCTTATCTTACCTGATCTGATTTGATCTGATCTGATCTGATCTGATCTGATCTGATCTGATCTCATCTGGTCTGATCTGATCTGATCTGATCTCATCTGGTCTGATCTGATCTGATCTGATCTGATCTGATCTCATCTGGTCTGATCTGGATCTGGTCTGATCTGATC